TTTCTTTCTTTCTTTCTTTCTTTCTTTCTTTCTTTCTTTCTTTCTTTCTTTCTTTCTTTCTTTCTTTCTTTCTTTTTCTTTCGGTACGGGGTTTCTTTCAAACCAAAATCCGGTCCGATGTACCTGGAGTGGAACTTAACGTCGGAACTTGCCCCCACCCCCCCAGCCCCCGCGTTTTACTCGCTTGTCCCTCTTTTCTTTTGCTTTTCTAGGAAAGCTGTGGTTGACCTTTTCACTTTTAATGTTTCTGTGTGGAAATTACGGCAAACGTTGCGAGTTAATTCGTAAGGCAGATATGCGGAGAGTGGAAGAGAAAGGGAGAGGGGAAGGAAGGAAAAGAAAGATTGAAAGGGCTCCGTTTCCCTAGGAAGGAAACCGGTTTACGATATTGGGAGTGAAATCCTGCTGATTTTCATCTGGACATAACTTTCTGGTAATTGGACACATGAGTCACTTTTCTGGATTGTGATGCTTTAATTTTTTTTTTCCTGTGAAAAGAGATGTCAGCTATGTGTTAATGGAGTCTTCTGTGGTTTAGTTTTATATCTCATGATGTTATGATTGATAAAATGTTGCTCAGAACTAGATATTTTAACAGTTTAATGAAGAAGGGCGGGTATGTTTTACATGTGGTTCTTGCTTATAGTGTGTGTCTATCACAACCACATTTTTAAAAAAAACTTGATACATCTTATCAGGCAATATTCCATCATTTCTTTAATGCAGATCTTGATGCATAATTATATATATTTCACAGAATCACTGAGCATAAGTTTACCTCATTTCAGCCTCATGCTAAAATAAAGCCTGAATGAACCTGGTTTTAAAAAGTAAAGCCCCAAACATGCTGTTAAAATATTTTTTAAAAAAAACTTGAGGGCATTAAAATATCTAGAATGGAAAAATTGTTGCATTACTGTTTATAAAATGTCTATCATAAGCCTAACAATGTATTCTTTTATTGTATTTGGAGGAATTCCTGTGTTTAATGACACTTACTTCCTTATTAAGCATTGCTTCTTGAAATTTATTGACAAGATGAGCTTTTAAAGGTTAAGATAATAATTTGAAATCTAATCTTGGTGTCTGAATTGTTTGAACTTTGGAGTATTTGGTGCTCTCCTGAGTGTGGTTGCTTGCAGGTGTTTCATACCCAACTAAGTAACATTACTAGTTTGGAAAAAAAAACCCAGTTCTTAAGTATCTCTTTTTAAAGTGATAACATGGAAACATCCATTTACTCTTTGTTTACCTTGTTTTGAAATATTCTTTCTCACATTCTAAGAGTTTTCTCGCATCTCTCTCTCTCTGTTCTTTTTTGTCAGAGTTCTTTTAGATGAATTTTCTTCCACATACATAAATACTCAGGGCAACTGTAAATAGTGTCTTCATTGTGAAGTCTCAGAGGTGTTTTCTAAGCTTGGTTGTTTGCTTGCCAACTAGGTAGCATCATCACTGCTAGTAAGTGTTGATTTGTTCCCTGTTTATATATAGTAGCTTGTCCTTCCTTGCCACCAATCATCAATAGATACATAAAGATGAATAAATTTTACACACCATTCAAAAGAAACCATATGCTAAGAAGGAAACAAAAAGACCAAAATACATTCTCTCCAGCAACCAACCCCCAGATAAGTGGAAATTAACATTGGACAAACAGTACATTAAACAAGAAATGCCAAGGAGAAAGCCATACTCCCTTGAACACTGGCATTGTATATAAATAGGGAGCACACCCCACACTCACCAGCATTGTGGGACTAGAATAAAATTCCAGTCCAGGAAATTCTTTTGATATCTCATACTCGAGTTTCACTTCTGGGGCAAAATGTATAATAATGTGAGTTTTGGAAACATCACAAAATACACCCTTGTCCATCTTGCTCCCTAGTTGCTCAGACAAAGAATTTTAGGAGGAGCCGCAAATGCAAATACACCTCAACATGTGGTTAGGAATTCAATTTTATTTATAAGCAAAGTCCTTTCTAAGCGCAAAAATCATTTTAATGAGTGATATGATATCCTGGGTCCACATAATGGAGAGAGCTTGGTGGAATTTCTTTTTAATGGGAGCGATTCAGTAGTTATCAATAACTTGGTTTCTTTAGCTTTTGCTTTATACCATACCAGAAAATCCTTGACCCATTGGGCCAATGGAGCCACTGTTTCACAAATATTTCCTTGCTAGATTCCTCGATTATTTCAACAACGGCAGAGGTTCTAATATATTATCTTCACTAGAGAAGTTCTTTAAAAACCAGGGAAATATTCAGAGATGCATCTGCCTTAAAAATAGCCCATATTGCACTGTAAAGTACAGTCAACATCAGGAGTGAACCACAGGAAATGTTTTATAATATTTGGCCAATTTCATTTCTGTAAGAGTCATGGATGCATTCTATAAGTTAGCCCATTTGAGGTACCTTGGTTCAAAACTTCTTGTCCCATGAGGTACCATTTTGTTCAGTTAAAGGTTAAACACACAGCTTTAATATATAGCATGATAGATATCAGACAAGAATACCATTATTGTAACTCTATACACAATTAATTTCCCAGTGAATTTAATTGAAATTTAATTTTGTACACAACTCTTATTATAATGACCCACAAAATATAGTTTTAAAATGCCAGCCATATGACAAGTAATTAGTGGGTGGCTATTTTTTAAAGAGAAACACTCCCCCCTCCCTTGTATTTCAAAAGTATTATAGTTGTGGGGCCAAGTGCATTGGTTTCATTACTGTTCTCACTGACAATACCCAGTAAGCACCTGAGGATGAACTATGCACCCACTTCTCACATAATAGGATACTGAATATGCTTGTTCAGATTAAGAACATTTTCAAAGTAACAAGGTATTTTGATCTCAGTGCTAGGAAAATACATTTCTGCAATTAAAATGGTGTTTTGAGGCATTTCACCTTGATACTGAATCTCATATTACATTTTTGATCCATAGGTTTCTGGTATAAACTCATCATTAGAGAGGCATCTGTACTAAAATTAGGGTTAATTACTTGCAAGGAAGTGTGTCAAAAAAAATAATAACCTTGACATTATGACTAACATATTGTTTGTTATAGCTGTATTACTTCCAAACAACATATTTAATTAATCTGAATACCTGCTCAAACTCTGGGTTTATAAGCCAGAATGTGATATAGCAAATAAATATAATGTAATTACTTAAACTATCAAACTTTTAGCTTAGCTAAAATTTTACATTGCTTCATAAAATGTTCATGATTTGGAAAGGGATGATTGTTGAAATTACACATTAAAGTAATCTAGGTTTAAGATTGTTTTGGTCAATTTTTTGTTAACTGTATGAGAAGGATAGAAGTATGTTGAGCCCAAACTACGTATGACAGCTAAGGATTTTTTGAATGAAATACAATGGGATTAGAATGCAACTAATATATTTCACTAGACATTCTCAAAACTGTTTTTAAGCAGTAACTGCAAGTCCAGAAGGACTCCCAAGTTGCCCACTAGTTATGAAAAGGGAAGTACAGTCCCATCCAAGACCATCAGTAATCACATTCCAAACCCTGAGGGGTCCAACAGCAACATTAACTCAGTCATGTTAGGATAGAGCTGAGATCTACTTTGCTCCACCCAGACCCAAACAGCCTCCAGATACTGGGCCAGTACATTGACAGATTCATCTGTGAGGCTCAGGGTTATGGTGTAGAGCTAGGTATCATCAGTACACTGATAATACAGAATTCCACACTAGTGGATGATCTCATCCAGTGGTTTTATATAGACATTGAACAGGAGAGGGGAGAGTGTTGAGACTTGAAGCATTCCACATAAGAGGCCATATGCGTGATCTCTTCTCCCCACACCACCAACCACAGAGGAAGAATGTGAATCACTGGAATGCAGTGCCTCTCATTCCTAAGCCCTACAGCTAGGACAACAGTATTGAAAGCCACTCCAAGATCAAGAAGCACTAGGAAGGATGCATCAATTAATGCATGCTGCTCTGCCAAAAGTCTTCAACAAGTGTGAACAGCGCTATCTCTGTGCTGGATCCTGGCCTGAAATCAGATTGAATTGGTCCAGATAATCTGTTTCCTCCAAGAACCTCTGAAACTGTCATCCAGCCAGCTTTCCTATAACCTTCCTCAAGAAGGGAAGAATGGAAACTGGCTAATAATTGTTGAAAAGGAAAGGCTCCAGTGATGACCTCTTGAAGAGGAGATGTACCATTGCTTCATTCAGGT